CAAAATTAGTTGTTTCTTATGTATTTCCACCTGCTGAATTCGAAAATGACATAAAAAAAATTACATATTAGCTCTAGTTCAAGAGATAAAAGCAAAACTCTATCCTCAAGAGTATAAATTTTTATTTTTTGGAATTTTTTTTTATTTTGTCTCTTGGCTATCTATAATGCTTTATTTATGAAGGCACAAATGAAATAGAAAAAGAAAGCCAGCCTTCCACATTAAATGATTTTGATTTTGTGTCATCAGATGATGCACCACACAGATTGAGTCAAGCAGAATTAAGTGACCTCGTTCGAGATCTTGACTTGTCACAGGAAACGGCTGAATTTTTAGGTTCTAGATTAAAACAGTAGAATTTTCTCCAATCTGATGTCAAAGTTTCCTATTTCAGGAAACGACAACAAAATCTTTTTCGTGTTTTTAGAAGAAAAATAACCTTGTTGATTGCGTTGATATCTATGGATTAATGTTTTGGCTCAATTTGAACTAAGATCCAATTGAATGGAGATTATTCATAGATTCATCAAAGCTAAGCTTAAAAGTTGTATTACTGCACGATGAAAATCATTTCCATCAGTTCCTATTGGCCATGCAGCTCACATGAAAGAAACTTACCTAAACATGAAAACTCTTCTTAACTCAATCATTTACATCGAACACAAATGGAAAATTTGTGACCTCAAAGTATTCCTAAAAGTATTGTCATACTTTTAGGAACGCAATTAGGCTATACCAAATACTGCTGCTTCTTTTGTATGTGGGACAGAAGAGACAAAATTTCACATTACACAAAAAAGGACTGGCCTGCAAGAATTCTCAACAAAGATGATAAAATGTTGTTGCTGAACTACTCGTAGATCTAAAAGATGTACTTCTTCCATCCTTACACATTAAGCTGTTAATTCGGATGTTAATTTTTGTTCCTCCGTTGGTGACTTGGGGATCGTATTGGATCAAAATATGTCAATGAATTTTCATGCCAAAAAGCTTAGTAAGGAGTGCTCATTTCAGCTTAGAAGGCTTAATCAAGTTAAAAACTCATTAGATAATGACACATTGAAATGTTTGGTTCATGCATTTGTTCATTCAAAGTTGGACTACTGTAACAGTGTTTTCTATGGAGTATCAAACAGTACATTGTCTTCTCTACAGTCAATTCAGAACAGAGCGGCCAGGATTGTTAGTGGCCGTTTGAAGTTTGATCACATTAGTCAAACGTTGTTGGATCTTCATTGGCTTAATGTTAGGAAAAGAATCTTATACAAAATTTCCATCATGGTGTTCAAATGCCTGAATGGTCTCAGTCCAAGTTACCTGTCTGAAATGATAATACGTAGAGTTAGATCTCATCCGTCAATCAAGTTGCGTTTAGATGATCAAGATTTATTGATGGTGCCGAAAACAAAGTTAGCTGTTGCTGATAGAAGTTTTGCAGTTGCTGGTCCTTCGATTGGAATAATTTGCCCCATCACCTGCGTCGGCCGGGATTGACTCTTCAACAGTTTCGCAAGGAATTGAAAACTCATATCTTCTTGGATTGATTCGCACAAATCATGGAGCGCCTTTGGGTGACTATAAAAGGCGTTCTACAAGTTCTCTAATAATAATAATAATAATAATAATAATAAATAAGCTGGGTTTAATAAAAAAATTCTGTCAAAGATATGAACAAAAAAAGACAGACTTTTAAGTATTTAAGAAACATATTTCCAAAATTAAGTGATGCAAAAGTTAAAGAGGGTATTTGTGTTGGACCATAGATACGTGAACTTGTGAAAGATCCTGCATTTGAGGAAGTTTTGAAGGAGCAAGAAAAAGAAACTTGGGAATCTCTTAAGGTAGTGATTTGTTGATTTTTATGCAACAGAAGAGATGATAACTACATCCAATTGGTAACAGTACTTCTGCAAAAATTGCATCAACTAAGATGTAACATGTCCTTGAAGATTCACTTCCTCCACTCACATTTAGACTTATTTCCCCTTTGTGGAGTTGTTAGTGATGAACATGGAGAAAGGTCTCACCAAGATATTTCTGTAAAAAGATATCAGGGTCGTTGGAAGGAAGCTATGCTTGCAGATTACTATGTTCCTAGGGATGCTCCAGAGTTCGTATACAGGCGGAAAGCAAAAAGAGCACAATCGCGTGAAAATATTCTATAATGATCTTTATATTTATTAGCTTTCATTGTTTAAAACTGTTAGAATATGATCTTTATTGAAAAAACTAAATGCACTCTAAGTATTATTAAAATAAGTAAATTATATGTCATATTGCTATGTTGTGAATAAACAAAATCAAAAAATTTTTGTTGTTGTATATCTCAGAAACTAGAGCTAATAAAAAATTTTCGTTTGCATTTTCGTTTTTCTCATCCCAAAGTTAGTATAATTTGACTAAAAATATTAAGGATACAAAAAAAAAATATTTTTTTTGTTGCCCAGTGAGCCAAGTACCAATGTTTCAGATGATACAGTAATAACATTGGATGATTGTATTCAACCATCAACATCAAACTCAGTGGAATGGAAAGCAGTTGATATAAGTCCATTTCCAGTTCCAAAAAATGATGACTGCTCAAAAAAACAACACGCCGAAAAGAAAAAATGGCTATTATTACCAGTTCTCTTTAAAATTGCCGTTTCTAGAACAACCAGGAAAAACAGAATGCAACAAAAAAAGTCTCAGAAAACCAAATAAACCAAAGACAAAAAACACCAAAAAATCAAATCTTGGAGAAAAACAATCATCTAATCAAAATGATGATGTAATGGATTATTTTCAGAAGATGGAAATGGGGAACCGTGGATATAGTGTGTAACGTGTAAAAAGTGGGCTCACGCAAAATGTGCTGGACAGGAAACAAATGCTTTTGAAGGTGATTTTTGTAGAGACAGTGATTGAACACATTTTTAATTCTAGAAACATTATTAAACACACGTTTAGACGACATTTCGATCTCGATCTCCTTATCAATGTCACAATGTCCTCATTCAGTCCCATCATTGACATCAGCTCTGTACTACTCCTCCTATCCTTCACTTTAACCCCACACATCATCCTCACCATAGCTCTTTCAGCCCTCTGCAGTACACTTTCCTCCTCTCTCCTCAACACCCAAGTTTCACCACCATATACCATCGCTGCTCTCACACATGCTTTATATACCCTCCCTTTCATCTTCACTAATCATTTCTTTCCACACAATACCCCTCCATTATGTTTCCACACACAACATCCATCACAATTGCAAACAGAAACGGTGATAACACTGATTCTTGAAGCACTCCTACCTTAACACTAAAAGCGTCCGACATCCCCCTTCCAAACCCTCACCTTTGTCTTTGCCTCTTCATACAGCTGCATCACAGCTTTAACAAGTCTCTCATTCACTCATTTCTTCCTCAACGCCCATTCAATGACCTTCCTCGGTACTCGATTAAAAGCCTTTTCTAGATCCACAAAACACATGTACAATCTTCGTTTCTTCTTTCTATAATTCTCCTGCAACATTCTCACCATGAACAACGCATCCACAGTTCCCCTACCAGGCATAAACCCACACTGCATTTCATTAACTGTCACCATATTTCTCAACCTCCTCTCTAGCATCCTCTCCACTACCTTCATTCCGTGCTCTAGCAATTTCACACCCCTATATGACCCACAATCTCTCACATCTCCTTTGCCCTTATACAACGGCACCAACACACTGTGTCGCCAATCCTCAGGTATACCTTCATCATCAAACATACTGTTAGCAATTCTCATCATAACTTCAATTCATATCACCCCACTCGCTTTTATATCTTCTGCCGCCACTTCCGAAACCCCTGTCGCCTTACCTAGTTTCATTTCTCTAACTGCTTTCTCTACTTCCTCCATCGTCACCTTCTCTATAGGTCCGTGTGTGACGGCGGATTCCACATCTCCATCCCACTCATTCTCTTCATTCATCAACCTTTCCATATGAGCTTTCCACGCCTGAGCTTTTTCCTCCTCATCTATGTACAACTTGCCAGTTCCATCCCAAACACATCCATTCCGTATAACATCTTTCCTATCCCTCATTGACTGCTTTGCTACTTTGAACATTTTCCTCGAACTCACATCAAATTCCATTTCTTTCATTAACCTATCTGATGCTTTCGTCATTGCAGTTGCCACTGCCTGTTTTGCAACCTTCTTAGCCTTCCTATACTCAAACTCCGCTTCCTCCGTCATGTCCCTTCTCCATACCCTAAACCTCTCCTTCTTGACCTCCAAAACCCTTCTTATATCTTCATCCCACCACCACGAAACATTATTAAAATTTTTTAAAAATAGAATTTAGTAAGATATAAATTGTTGAATTCATGTTTTTGTTATAATTTTTAAAATGTCTTGCCATTTTTTAAACCAACCATTCAATTGACCTTTTTTTGTTGAAATGGTTATAAAAATTATAGTATCCCATATTACCCCACTAGTAGAGGGTAATAATATGGGATACTGATGTGAAAGCTAGTTTTTAGCTTTGCTCAAATATTAAATGATCTTAAATCTTTCATAATAAAGTTAGTAAATGAATACACTACAAAATATGGTCATTGGTGTTTGGAAGAACTTACACTTTTTAGAATTCAAGTCCAACTGTTAAGTATGCCATATTACCCCACTTTCCCCTACTTTCCCATTAAATTTGGAGCATGTTCATAATAGCATCAATTAAAGATATTATCTGGGTACGGTTATGTTCTGCTACAAAGCATGAGTCCTTAAAATACCAACATTTTAATTTTTAAACGAAACAGGTTGAGATTTTCAATTTCTAAGCATGACTCGCTAAAACTTCAGCATTTTTTATTTGTTACAACTTCAATGTTGAAATATATTAGCATTTTTATTTCTAAACACGACGTTAAAGCATCAACATTTTAAGCACGACTTGTTGGAATAACAACTTACTAGACGTAATAAATAAATAAATAAAACAATTTGGATTTATAAAAACTAACCATAAACCATCATAACTACTGGAAACAATTAGACTTCCATCTCTATTGAAATGTACCTGAAAAACAAACGTTGGGTTCGAAATAACAGCCCAATAGAATTTTTTACTGCGTAATAAGGTTTGATTTAAATTTTTCAACCACGATTAGTTTAGAAATTAAAAATTTCATCAGTCACGGTCTGGTAAGAAAAAATAGAATTGAGATATCGTAGTATAGGTCTGTATATTGCTAGAACAAAGTCTATTTGTAAAAATCAATAAAATGTATTAAAAGGAATACAATGGAAATCTAACAGCCGTAACAGGATCGGAATGGGCAGGCAACGTCTTCAAGCACTTCCCCGTCTTCACATCCCATATTCGAACACTCTCATCAAACTGTTTCATTATTTAATTCATTGTCATGTTTATTATAACATACTTGTAGTTTAAAAATAAAAAATTAAGTAAAGATGAAAAATTGAGTTTTGTTATTGTAAACTTACAGAACCAGAAACAATGAGATTAGACTGAGGATTAAAATTACAACAGAACACATAGTTGCTGTGGCCTTTTAGCGTTTTCAAGCATTTACCCTGAATGAATATTCATTTAATTTGAGCTAAAAAATATTTAATCAAAAATAAAATTTATAAAATCAAGTGAATAAATATGAAAGGCAAAATGATTTATTGTGTCATGCTTTCATGTATATATTTTCACAGTCTTTTGTCATTAAAGCATTTACAAGAAAAAATTGTAACTAAAAAAATGAATTGAACTAACACTGGCAACATCCCATACTCTCAGTGTTTTGTCATCGGATCCACTGACTATGAGTTTGCTATCGGATGACCAAGCCAAATCAGATATACCCTAGCAATTACATGAACGATGTTCGATAAATAATTGCGTTACAAGTATGTTTGGTGGGTTAACATAGGTATGATAGATTTACATGTATGGCGGATTTCAATAAGCATGTTGCATTTAAATACGTATGTACGTTTAATACATGTTTTGAGGATTTGCACATTCGGTTACATCTACTACTTGTACGGCTCAATAGTGTTCCATACATTATCAATTGCAATTAAAAACAAAATATATTGATACATTGATAGTGTGGATTGTGGTGTAAATTTTTTAAAAATTACCAGATATTTTTGCCAAGTATTTTTGTTCTAGTTTGCGTTTTCAAAATTTTTTGAATTTCAGTTTGAATTTTGTTTCCATTTTTGTTTTGTTAAAATTTTATATAAATTGCAAACAATTTATTTGTTTGTTTATAGTTTGAAATTTAAAAAAGATTTATTATTTATGTTCAACAAAAGAACATCAAAAGCTTTTCTTAAATGTTTATAACAGTGTCTACCTCTGCAACATTTATACAGGCACCGATAATGTCCCATTCATTTTTCTCAGTAGTTATCCCACATACTTTCCCCTTACCTATACACTATTTTCTGAATCTAACTTTTAATTTAATGTTCAATTGTTAATTGAAGTCAACTCATGAGAAATGCTGTACAAATTAAACAATACAATAAATTCAACGGCTTTTTTTCCAATCTCTCTTACAGTTCACGCAAACAAGAACATCTAACTTACTATATTTCTTCACATAATAATGAGATACACCACATTTTCCCTGTCAACTTGACTTAGTTTTACAGCAATGTTTTTGCAAAAATTTTGAGTTTCAATAGTTTATTTCAACGCTAAACGGCATTAGTTATTAAAAACTAGAGTTGCAACGGAGGGTTAGACATTTTGAACCGGATAGGGTCAGGTGGTTATAACAGATATTCGACCGTAGCTGAATATCGTTGAGAGATGTCTTTTAAAAAATTTATATTATTAACATTTTCACATAACTGTTCAAACATATGCTACCTGTTAATATTACGTTTATTTTACATCTTAAAACTTCAGGAAATACACATTTGTACCTATAATTTTATAGATACCAAGTTTAATACCATTTGTTGCTTATGGTAGAACTTTTTAATAATAGATGTTTGGCGCATATTCATTATCATAGGTTTCTGCTTCAACGTTTTCATATAAGCTTCTTTTGAAATGTAAAGATTTCTGAACAAAATTTGAACATTTTAGAGTGCTTCTTCAGTGTAGGTAATGAAGTGATTAGTGACCATGGCACAGCTACCAGAAATAGTTTCAAGGTTTATCGCTTTGAAAAATGATAGTTAACTCAATAAAGAATGAAATGTTATTGTAATGCGATAGTAGCCTGTTGGAATAGTTTTGCTAAATAATCGGTAAATTACAATGCATTGGTAATGAAGTTAACTTATAAGAAGCGCTATACAAACGTATACAAACTATGCGCTTATGAAGTAAACTCATAAGAAGAGCTAAACAAATTCTACAATGCAATACGTATGTAAATATACAAACAAACTATTTCAAGCAAAGAAACATGCTTACATATAAACACGCACACATTCAACCACAAGTAATAATACATACAGTATATGATACATACAAGCATTTCTAGATTTCACAATAGTGTTAATGTTTGGTAATTAAAACATAATTAAGGTAATCAAACCAATTAGATGGTTCAAGCGATGTAAACCTGATTCTCTTCGCATTTCATCATTTTGCACATGTGCATAATAAGTTATATATTAATATATCTATCTATATATATATCTATCTATATATATATATATATATAAATATATATATATATATATATATATATATATATGTGCGTTTACGTACAAAACACAAACATCTAAACAAAGAAGCAAGGATGCTCATTGAATAACAAACCATGTCCTATTCTTAAATATGATTATCAACTACCTGGCCAACTATTCTGCAATGATATCCGACCAGAGCCGAATATTGCCGAATAGTGAGAAAAGATCGGATATCCGGCCGAAATTAGGAGCGGTACAACCGTAGTAAACACTTGATCAACAATAAGACTTGCATAAAATGTTAAAAAAGAGTCTACTATTAAACTAACCAATTTATGACCGCTGATTGTTTTTTCAAACTTTCCGTCATAGGCACCCCAAATTTTGATTAACTTGTCAGCAGCTTAAATATGGATCATGTTTTTTAAACCAAATCAGTGAATATTTAAAAATTAAAAAATAAATCATCAATTCATATTTCAAATGGGAAAAAAATCGAAAATGTAAATAAATGTTAATAAATAATAAAAAAGTCAATACAAATCAGTTTACAACCTGAACTAGCAAGCCATTCTCCATTAGGACTGAATTTTACAGAAGAAACTGCTTTTGTGTGACCAGCCAGAGTATATTTCAAAGTATAATTTGATTTCTAAAAAAAAATATTTTTTAATTAGTATAAAATCACTTGTATTAAAAGTGATGGCGTTATGCAGTTCATGTTTGGATTAAAATATCTCCATTCACTTTTTCGTTATAATATAATAATTAGAAATTTTATTATTAATTTAAATAAATTGAGTATCGATAAAATCAATCAATATCAATTATTGATTGTTTGATTGATTGATTGATCAATAAAGTAAATATTCAAAAAATTGAAAAACTTAGTTACAAACTCAGCAATGCGGTGATATTTCTTAGTAACTATATATATATATATATATATATATATATATATATATATATATATATAACCCTAACCCTAACTCAGCAATGCGGTGATATTTCTTAGTAACTATATATATATATATATATATATATATATATTATGCGAAAAATGCGGTGATATTTCTTAATAACTATATATATATATATATATATATATATATATATATATATATATATGTGTGTGTGTATATTATTTATTATATATATGTAATTTGGGGAAAAGTTTTTACATCCGGACACCCATCCTGACGACAACCACCAGTTATAAGCGGTGGGCCTAGCCTTTTGCTCAATTTACTATGGGAACCTCAATGACAGGGTGCAAATAATGTGTTGTGACACGACGGCGTTCAATATTGGACGTTTTAATGTGCTTTTTTAGAATACAAGATTTTTATAGCTTAAACTATTTTCTTTGCGCTGCTTACATGAACGCGAAAAAGATTTTTTTAGAAGGAAATGTCCGAAAAACTTTACACCTTGGTTATTTAAAACAATGTTCATTAATATTTTTGGTAATTATTATTTATTAGTTTATTTCAGATTATTTTTGTATTCTACCCTCTATTTACGGCATATTTCTATGGGACTTCCATTAAAAACTTTGACGTCAACTCTGCATAGCTTCCTATTATCATAAAAAAAAAGTATTTTATTACGTCTTTATAATATAAACATATTTGAGGATTATGCGTTTTTAATTTCTATAAAAAAATTCGTCGTATAAGGGACACCCTAATTAGGGATGCACCGGATTCAGGTTTTTCAAATCCGGCCGGGGCCGGACTTAGCCGGATTTAAAATTCAAAAACCGGCCGGGGCGGGAGCCGGGGCTGGATTTTAGTTACCATTTTACATACGTTAGAAAAAATACTCACATTTACGGTTATCTACATGTTGAACATCAAAAAATAACACCAAACAAATAGTTAATTAATTCAAATATATGAATAAGCTATGTGATACGCCAAATTTTGTACACAAAGATCAGCTTATAACTTATGCATAACCCATGTTATAGCATAAAGAAAATTGTCCAGCTTATCTCACAATTAGTGATGTTGTTATTATGTGTCATGTATGCACGTGCACAAGTTCTTTTACACAAAGATCAGCTTATAATGTATGTATAACCCGTTATAGCTCAAAGAAAATTGTCCAGCTCACCTCACAATTAGTGATGTTGTAATTATGTGTCATGTATGCCTAGCCTAACCTTTAACATACCATGTTCTTAAATTATGCGCTTATGTATCTCTATGTATACATATATATATATATATATATATATATATATTATGTAGCTATATGATCCGTCATTTACAATTATATAGCATAAACACGTGCACAAGTTCTTTTACACAAAGATCAGCTTATAATTTATGCATAACCCATGTTATAGCACAAAGAAAATTGTCCAGCTCATTTCACAATTAGTGATGTTGTTATTATGTATCATGCATGCTTAGCTTTTAACTTATTGACAAGCAATTAATTGAATTCAATGAAATTTTTTTTTCTATTTATAACATTTTTAAACGTCGATAGACGCTTAAATCCGGCCATAAATCCAGCCACCAAATCTGGCCGGGGCCGGATTTGAAAAAAAGCCGGATTTTGACCGGAGCCGGGGCCGAACTTCGGTGCATCCCTAACCCTAATATACATGTTCGATTTAAATCCTACTTTCAAAAAAGATTTATAAAAGATTTTTTGATTTAGACTTTTTTGTAACGGAAAATTTATCACAGAACTTCTCATTAACATGAACAAATGCAATGACATATTTGTGTTGCCTACTGGTACAACATCTAAATAATCAGGATACTTCAAATGTGTATATCCATCTTTCGTTTCAAGAGCAGATTTCGGTTTAATGAGTAAATAAAATACAGCATAAACTAAATGCTGCTTAGGTATGAATAGAATAGACATATAAATGGATAATTATTGATCAGACATATGCAAATTAATATTCTTCATCACCATAAAAGACGGTGATGAAAACTATGGAACATTTTTATAAATTGCTCAAAACCTTATAAAACGTTTTAAAAGGTTTACATTCTCTGATATGTTATGTCATAAGATTTGTTAAATGAATTTTTCTGTGCACATTGAATGTTGAGAAAAAAACTTAAAAATCTAAAACAAAATAGTTACTTCGCAAGGTTTAGACGAGACCTGTGATTTTTGAGAACTTGTGGGTGGAACAGTGTTTACAATACTTTCATCATTAAATCCACTAGCAGTGGTAGGAGGCAATTGAAATGAATTATCCAAATTTGCTGATGCTGATGCAATATTGAGAACGTTTTTAATATCACATTTGGCCATTGATGAATGCAAATCACTTGATTCCATTTTCAGATCATCAGAGGCCATTTAATCAAATAAACACCTGAAAAAATTATTTTCAAGTAAAAAATACTTGCTATATATAATATATATACATATATTAAAAAATGCTGGCAATGTTGTGATATATCAAACAACTGCATATCAGATAGCATCAACCAAGTATATATATATATATATATATATATATATATATATATATATATATATATATATATATATATGCTGGTAAAAAACCATAATTAATGGAGATACTCTCGACAAGAAGAACAATAATGGGTTACCCTAGGTTGGCCTTGTCGCATGATCACGCAATTTTATTTCATTTCCAAGTTGACGTATTAATGATTTATGTTATCATTTATTTAAATTATGCAACCTGCTTAAATTTAGCTGCCAAACTAAAAATATACACGAATACACAGTCCCACACTTATACATATATACGTGTGTATGTGTGCGTAGAAAGGAAAGCATATCTTAGCTTTGAACTATTAAAGACATCTAATACTTTTTTCAACCGACTCCGGCAAAAAAATAGAAGCAGTGCGATGATCTCAATACAGTTGAGGCCGTTAATGGTAATAACTAGATATTTCAATAATTGCATATGAAATAATTTTGTATTTTCAACTAAAAAAATTAGCAATCAGCTGAATAATAAAAACATTTTTTGGGTTAGGGTTAATGCGTACCAGTCATTACCCGACTATGCGTGAATTAATTTTGTAGTATTCAACCATTCAGGTCTGGTAGGAGAATTAAAAAATTTAATCTCAACGTTTTTTTTTCACATTTATAGAATCTGATGTCTTGGAAGAAGGCCTTTCATTAAATTTAAACGATGACATGACTAATGTTTCAGACAAAACTGGTAATTCATGTAAGAGTTTTTCAAATGAAACAGTACCTTTAGATATTGCCCCCAAGCATTTCGAATAATTTAAGATATGATCTTTTGAAAAATCCATGGAAACCTGACGAGAATTATAAATTTTCATTTGTGTTGGAAGGTAAAAGAAAAAAGTTTTTTAAATTCCATTGGTTTCAAGAATTTTTCTGGCTGTCTTATTATTATTTGAAACAAGGAGCATTCTGTAGGTTTTGCGTACTTTATGCAAATCGACATCCATCATGTGGCTCAGTCGGAGTATTTGTTATATCACCTTGAAATCGTTATAAATCAGCTTTAGATCAATGTCGCTGTCATCAAGCGACATCTTTTCATAGAGAGGCTACAGAAAAATCAGAAATGTTTCTGAGTTTGATTAAAAATAAAACTAATGTTTTAGATTTATCAAACTCTGCTCTTTCCACAAAAACAGAGCAAAATAGAAAATTGCTTAACACTATTATTGAAACTATTAAACTTTGTGAGACAAAATTTTGCTTTGCGTGGACACCGAGATGACGGGAATTTCAGAGCGCTATTAAAATACAGTACTGAATGTACAAGATCCGCCACTGAATGTATATGTATTATATATATACATTCAGTGGCGGATCTTGGGGTAAGGCCGGAAAGACCATCTTTCAGTTGTGAGCAGTATATTTATTAAAAGAATTCAGCTTTTGCATAAAAAACACCATTTTATATCAGAAAAAGGTCGCCAGCCTAATTTTGGCCACGCTTCCACAAATCTTGGCCCCCTGTCCAAATTTGAAAAAAAAATTTAAACTTTTAAATATTTTCAAAATTTTGGCCCCCCCGCCAAAGTTGTCTAGATCCACCACTGCAGATTAACAAAGAACAAACAAAATGGTGCTATAAAAAAACAATTAATAGATAATCATAATATAATGCTAAATAAAAAACTTTAAATAATAATACTTAAATTTTGCACTGTAATAATAATTTCTTTGAACTAAAAATAGCCGAATCATTATTTGTAGACAACTTTAAACCAATAATTAATATTCAACAAAAACAAGTAAATATTATCCCTACTGAAAAAAAAAATTTTACTTAATTAAAATTTTAATAATTATAATATTGACAATAATTTAACTAATATTACTACCGATATTACTATTGCTAATACCACTCTTACCACTAATACTTGTACTTCTTTTACTACAGCCACTACTAATAATAATTATACTGATAATGGTAATAATTGTAGTGATTTTTATGGTGATATTGATGATGATGGTAATAATATTAATAATAAAAATAACACTTCGTAATTGGACAATATATATATATATATATATATATATATATATATATATGACAATATATATATATATATATTAGTATATATAAATATAATAGTATTTCATTTAATTTCATATTAATGTCACAAACACTCTTACGTAAATATAAATATATATATTTCTAAT